TTTTTTTTTTTTTTTTTTTTTTTTTTGCTTTTAAACTAATAGTTTAAATTGCAATGCACAAAAAACGTTTAATGAAGGAGAAGAAAACAAGTTGTGTTTGTCTAAACTGGGCATTTATTTGACAACGAGTTAAAGTTTTACTTTAACATTGAAACTTTAATGTGTCAGATAGTAAAAAAAGTAACTTCATGTAAATGTGATTTGATAAAAAGTTAGTCGCTTTTGTATTTCAATTTACTACTATTGCAATTTCTTATTTTGCATTTAATTTCTGTTTAAATTTTTTACTGCTTTTTGAAGTTTAGGAAAAAATAGGTTTTATGTTTATTTATTTTGGTAAAAGATTCAAACATCAATTTGATGCTTTGTGTGCGTACGTAATATAAATTTATGCATCTATTTATCTGTCTATCTCTGAAACGATTTTAACTCATATAGGCAGATGTCAAACAGTAATTATTTTGGTCTAAAAAAAAGGACAGGAGAGGAGGGAAGACAGGAAAAATCAGCAGTTATTAATTTGAAAATCTAAGCTGTCAATGACTGCAATCTGGTTCTACAAAATTAGCAAGCCTGCTTCGTAAAGGAGTAGCAAAAAAAAAAAAGTAGATAAGGAAAAGAAAAAAAATGAGAAAACATTACTGGTGACAGGCACAAAAATTACCTTTTCTTGCTTGTCATCATTGTCATTAGACAGAAAAAAAAAAAAAAAGCAAAAAAAATTAACATGAAAATTGATGGCATATTTTTAGTGGCTCTTAATTTTGATTTTGTTGTTCAATATTCGTCTAATAATCTTTCGAGAAGAAAAAACGGTGAAAAAAATCGTTCTCTTTTTTTTTTTTTTTTCAACTGTTCTGATAAAATGGCAAATTCATTTTGCAGGGGCCGAATATGAAAGTGTTCACGGTAGGCTTAGATGAGAAACCACCGATAAAAGAGCATCCGGAGCCTGAAAATGTTACTGTAGTACCGCCACCGATGATTGCTGTTGAAAAGAAGATCAAAAAAAGCTATAAGGTTACCTACCGGTTTCATTTACATTCGCAAAAATTTTTTTAATAAACTCGTTTATCTTGCAATAACAGTAGCGAAATTTACAGTGCTTTTGAGTGGAACTGAAAAGTTGAACGGTTTTTAAACTGCATTATGCGGTACTTTTATTTATTAACTTTTTCTAGGGTTATATGCTATGTTTTGCTACGCTGTTTTTCGTCCTATTCTTCGCAATCATCATCAGCGAAATTGCATACAACCGTGCCCGAGATGAAAGTTTCCTGCGCCTAAGATGGTTACATTTAGTTCCAAACTTTTTTTTTTTTTGTTTTATTAGATTACTTAGTAGGTTGCATCAATGAGGAGGACGGTGTGCAAGAGAAGAAGTTGGTTCAACAAAGTTTACAGTTCTAATAAGCTAGCTGGCATTTAGTGTCAACAAAAAAACTACTTGTGGCGCAGTTCTGTTTTTTTACTCGCTTTTGCTCAACTTATCTACCAAGTTTACCCATAAAGTATCATTCAATTTACTAACTTTATTGGTACTGTATTGACAACTTTTTACAAAATAGTAATACCGAAGGCAAAATATTGACCTATTTTGCTTTTCTGTGTTTTAGAGATAGAATTAAAAATTAAGCTTATCATTGGACAAAAAATAGACATTTGCTACACTGTACTATTAGCGTAACCAACACATATACTCCTCCAAGTTTACTTCTAATGGCTATTACGTTGGCATTTAAAATTTCTTACTAGTCATAGACCTGTAATCTAATGCAGCTCGTAACAGTTGTGGCTGCACATAGTTGTCCAAAGATCGACTTAGTTAAGAAAAATTTGGTTGACA